GGTAGTAATATAATAGTTGCTGTGATAGTATAGTAGAAATATAATTTAAAAAATCTTACGAACAAACCGGAAAAATATGGAATAATTCCTGTTCTGGTTTTCCCGAATGCACCGCTGGTAGAATGAAAGTGAAACAGTCAACAAAAATAACTCGACTGAAAATTATTTAATGAAGATGGCAGTAGTAATGATGATGGAAATAATAATAATGATAATAGCAATGTTAATAAAATATAATAATAATAATAATAATACAGTAAATTCAGCTGGTTCAGACAATCGTTAGTTAGTCAACAGAACCAGGAAAAAGAGTTCAAATGGAAAAATTTTCTCCGTAATCTTTCGCCGTGATCTTATGCGCGCGCGCGCAAATGCTCAGTAAAAATTTCCAATTCGTGCACACAGTTACACAAAAAAATTCTTTTTTCCTCAATCTTTTTCTTGTTTCTCTTTCAATTGAAATGAATAGCAACCAGAAAAGTGTCCCCGCTGTCGTTGTCGTTGTCGCTTAGGAAGAAAGGAGAAACGTTTTAAAAAGGAATATTTTCGAGTGATCCTTGAAATGTTCACTGCTTGTAACAGTGCTAATAGTGGTCGTTGACGTGATATTGACGTTACTGTATCGGATGTAATTGAATGCTTTTGCTATCACCGTTATTGTAGTAGTAATGGATTTAGTAGGAATTGGTTATTGTTTTCTAAACTAAAATCAGGCATTCCTTATTTGAATTTGCCTTAAAACTTATCGTTCTTCTTTCCCTATTATTAATTTTTATAACTTTTAAACAATAATTAAACATCGATCGATGATCATTTCGGACTCGTTCAGCTTGTCTCGTTCATTTTTTCAAGCCAACTTTGCTTCTCTTTTTTTTTTTTTCGTTATGTCTAAATATTTCGGCCGTTATTTGCTAGTATTACTGCTTCTCGGTCCTCAATTCTCAAACAGATAGAATTACGCGTTCTTAATTCTTGAGCAGATATGAATGTTAAAGCTCACTGAAAGGTACAAAAAATAGGAAATAATCGTAATTGATGTGAGTTGATGTGTTGTTGCTGTTCACGCGAACATATTTGACACATAAACAGTTTAACTGATAGCAGAATGTTTACAGGAGAAATTTGAGGACCTGAAATTTCAGATGAAGTTCTCATCATTTTAAAATTATTTATGCGGCGAATGGTTTTGCACAATGTGAAAAGCATAATGTGTAAATAAAATAAGTTACAGATCGATATATACGCTTCATTTTATTTGTTCGATATCAATTGACCACCTCGGAAAAATTTAAACAAACTATCTCAGGAATGCATGTTGTGGAAGGAAACTGAAAACCGAATTTATGGTATTTGAGGCGGAATTAATGATAGGTTTGTTTCAGGAATGTTATGTATGAGCGTTCTGTGAGCTAATTATACAAATGTCCCAATTTATCACTGGGCTATTTGAAATTGACAATGGGATAGGATGAAATAGTCATTTCGTAGTCACAGATATCACAGCTTATGGCTTCAGGTTAACTTCTTGAGTAAATTTTCTAAAAAGTTTGTAAAGTAATAGTATATTCAGAGATCAAAGAAAAAAACAATGCAATGATCAATTTTATCTAGATGAATACAAAAGTGGATTTAAACGATGTCAAAATTAAAGTGTGGCTAGTTTACAAATAATTGAAATTATTTGTAAAATGAATGGAATGAAATAAATGAAAAGACGATGAAATTGGTATATAAATAGTATGAAAGGATGATTTGGTGCAAGCGGCCAAGTTGTGAATGCAACCGAACTAAAAGGAAAGAGAGGAAAGGAACCATATCACATTCCACAAATTTACTGTTGTTGTTTGCTGCTGTTTATACGACAATTTGTTAATGATAATGCAAAAGAGATAATCATTCTCCCTTCTCCCCGTATTTTCTTCTCCTTTGCTGTGCTGTCCTACCCGTTTCTATTGTCACCCAGAATACTTCTTTCTAACTCGAAAAAGGCAAATGGATGAACAAACAGATAGTATATATGTACATAAACAATGATCGCTTACCCAAAGAGGAATGGTGTAGTTTGAAATGGGTGGGAACAATTGAAACAGGTTAGGTTGATACTCGTATCGTTCGATGTTATATTGCTCGGTATGACTGCTGATTGTTATTAATGACAATGATGGCTGTAATAGCAGTGATAAGAGAATAGTGATAGTGGTGATAGTCATCACTACCGCTGTTACATTTGGTCAGTGCTATCTTTTGTCTTGTGGTGATAATGGTGATAACGGTCATGATAAAAATAATAATTCTTACTTACTAATATCACATTAGCAAACGTCCTTGAGACAAACGGATGAATATCTAAGTATTTCTTGGTGAACAATTTCATGAATTATGTACATTACTGTACTGAAGCTATCATCTACATCAATAAATCAGGAAAACTAAACTGTTCAGTAAAAATTTAAAAACTTTGCTTAGGAAAGGAAATGTATTGCTGATATTTGAAGAATATAAAGAAAAAGAAATAGAAGCAAAGATGAAACTTCAACATTTAACGAAATAAAAAAAAAGTTGAAAGTTAACAAACACGTGATTACTAACGTCGGAAAAACTTGAAAACGTGAATGCTTTTTGCGTTTGCGTTTTGGTTTGTTAACATCAGTTGAAAAAATATTTATAACAGAAAAATAAATAAAAACAATGAAGATTTATTGCAAAATTTAGTTTCAAATGAAAGTTGAACTTATGTTGAGACAGATGCGCTTATAGAACGTATGTAATTGTACCTATGTGATATCTAATGCCTTTATTGATATTCTTGGGTTGTTATTTTCAAACATTAATCATCTTAAACATTATTCATTACTGCTCTTTGAATCCTTATCGGAAAATCAATATCAACCGGAAAATCATTCTTGCTTATCAGAAGACAACATCGGAACATCCCAACGCATCAGTTATTCGAAGATGATTAAAATATTAAAATACTTACTATTTCAATTATTTATCAACTGTTGTCAAGATTTCGACATATTTTGTAACGATCTATCTTAATCGAAAACATGGATAAGCATTTTTCAGACCTAATTAGAACTTCAAGAAATATTCCGGATTATTATTCGGTATAGATTGCTATAAAATAATGAAAAGAAAAACTTGAAGTGATGAAATAAATGATGAAATGGAGTTGAGTTCTTTGTAGGAAAAAAAAAAATGAAAAATAATAAGTCCGAAAGAGAAAGTGGCCTTCATGTTTTCATTGATTATCACAATACTTATACAGTACCTTGCCAACAACAACTATTGTCAATGATTCAGGTGTGAAATATATATTGTCGAGACAAGGAGTCGAGACAAGGACAGATTAGCAAGTACAGTCAATACTCCTCGCTAAGTTTAAAATTTACAAAATATGCAAATTTGTCAAGTACATTGTTCAGAACAATGACACAGTAACGATTCTGCTAACGATTAGAGCATTAGTAGTAATTGTTGTTGTTGTTGTTGTGTGTTGGTAATATAACAATATTCAAAATTTTTAATTATGTTAATTTAGTTCAGTTATAATGGTTAATTATATGTTTTCGTGTAAATAAGGAATTATAGAATGTGAAAAATTAGAAAACTGTCACCATTTTTAATAAATCTAATCTGGGCAAAATTCTAAATTGTCAACAACAATTCATTGCAACCTGACATCACGAAGAAACGAAGGATAATAGTTCGTCGTAAAAGATATAAAGCTTTATAAAACAATAATTTGGGTTACACATTGTTCCAATTGATTGTAGTTCAATTTTTAGCACTTCAACAACTTTCATTTCTGAAAGGTAAACAAACAAAATTAGTGAAACTTAGCGATTTGAGGAAAAAAATCTTTTCTTTTCATTCCAGCCGACGACTGATACTCACTCATTTATTCATTTTTACTTCTATCGGTTTAAAATACTTTGTCAAACTTATCTTTCGGCTTAAAATGCTTTGTCAAACTTATCATTGCTGTTTAGATTACAGATAATTTACTGATAATTGTCTAATCTCGAAATGTTATCTGAATAGAAATTCAATCATTCAATCTTTGTGTGCAAACCTATGATTCACCAATTCCTTTAGCCACAAAATTATTATTCGTATAAACAACAATCATAAATCATTTGCATCAATTATGAATGTTATATTGAACAAACAAAGACAAACGAACAGAAAAAGACGAAGAAGGAAAGCAAAAATATTTTACAATATCACAAGGGCGCACTCGGTACTTAATTTTACAAAACGCACCCCATACCTTTCATCGACGATATCAGTAAAATGACAGAAAGTATCAAATCTCACAATTTTCATTTTCTCCGAAACTTTCAAAGACTGTCATTTTTTACCGAAACTCCAAGAAACAGAAAAAAAAAAAAAGAAAGAAAATGATCGATACATTTTTAAGATTAAATTGAAATTTTCATTTGATGATTTTTATTAATTTTATTGCCTTTTATTTTTTAATCATTTCCAAAGAAGAAATAACTTATTAAATCGATGAAAGATTACAAGGAGACTCAAAATTTGTCTTTGTAATTCTTTTTATGCTTTCTTGTTTATTTTCAGCAAAGTGATCACAAGAATTTACAACTAGTTACTACGTACATAATGCTTATCCTTAGTTAAAGATCATTATATACAACTAAGTATGCGTCAAGTACGTGGTACTTCTTAATCTGATGACTTCAGCATTAATTTCATTTCGTCAAACCATTGGAATGGGATAACCATAGAAACACAAATTGTCCGTATTATAATTTGCTACTTTTAGTGATAAAATCATTTAAGATCTGTCCGTTTCACGTTATTTCCACGTGTTGATGGATGATTATGACTGCTTGATGTATTCGTTTTCATGGTAGCATACAAGGCGTAACTTATTAATCGTCGTTATTTGATGTACACTGTAGATGTTTCTTTTTTTTTTTATGACGTGATGATGCTACAACTATTATTTCAGAACGAAAAATGCTTTTGATATGAATAATGAGCTAAGGAAAGCAGCCGTTATGTTCTTACGAAATGCTATTGGACGTATACTGGCCGATCGTGACATCAAGAGAAAGGTTGGTTTATTATTCAAGAAATTTTTCTATAACAAGCTCTAATTCATTAATTTAGATTAATGAATTAGAGCTTAATTATGCATTCTATGTATGATCGAGTTAGGTTTTGAGTAGAAATTGTTTTTCCTTTGTTTAGTTATTCCTTCTTTCAGGAACATGCTCAATTACGAAAAGCATGTGAGCAAGCAATTGAAGAGCTTGATACTGATAGAATTGATGAAGGCCAAGGTACTACGACTAATGTTCTACCATCTAAGGGCCATTATATATATGCTGATCGATATTTTCTGCCCTTTGACCTTGCTTGTCATTCCAGATTGCCACGAATTGTTATTATTGCTCTCGACTGCTTGCAGGTTAATTTTAACAAAAACTAACGTATCTTCTTTGAAAGATGTTTGCTCGAAAATTCTTTTATTAAGTCGAGGGAAGTCATTTCACTAAGCCTAAACAAAAAGAACTAATTTAGACAATTAGTATGGCGACCAGTTCTATTCATAGTAGGAATTACTGTCATGACCTTTCGGTTGTTTCTTTTCCTTATCATAATTATCAAATATAAAATTATTATTTGTAGAAATTAATTGCATACGGTCATTTGGTGGGTAATGGAATTGATGTGGCAAATCCAGATCGTCTTTTAATTGATCGTATTGTCGAAGCCATATGTTCACCTTTCTACGGTCCAAATACGGATGAAGGTGTTCAGTTGCAAATCTTGAAGGTTATGAACCATCTCTTGATAATTCTGCTGTGATGAATAACACTTTGATGACGATTATTATATGAGCTAGTTGTTTGAAAAATAATTACAGTAGTCTAATCATGTTGTTATTAAGTAATAATTGCCTTAACAAGCATTCGTAGGTTGTGCTTTTTTTCATTTTTAAAAAATTTTAAAAATTTGTAAAAATAGCAATTTTTTTTTACATTGCTGTCACAATAATTTCATATAAAGTCAACATGACTTTGAAAATTTTGTTCATCTTAGTTTACGTTGCGCATTTGCGAAGTTTCTTACATTGATTATATTTAACATGTTTTTTTTTTTTTTTTTTTCAATATAATTTCACTGCAGGCAATATTAGCAGTCGTACTCGCACCAACATGTGAAGTACATAGAGGCACGCTTCTTTTGGCAGTTAGGACATGTTTTAATATTTACTTAGCTAGCCGAAGTCCGATCAATCAATCAACTGCGAAGGCTTCTTTAACACAGGTAATAAAAATATCAAAAATAAATCGGATTTTTTGTTATGCATGTAAATTTATTTACTGATTTACTTGATGAATGAGAATTAAAGTTTTATTGAGTGTTGAGGTAATTAATACAGTCTTTGGAAGTGCACTGAATGCAGGAGATGTAGCTTCGTCGCCACACCAAAATGATGAAAAAGTAAGTTTTGATATTCCTAAATATGAGCTGTAATTTCGGTTACCAGCCAGTTATATAGTTTTTAATTTTTTTCTTTGAAAGTCCATATTTTTTGGTTAGATTTAATAATTATTAAATTTAAATTCCTTTTGGTAAATCTATTTAAGAATTGCATTAGTCATATGTGCGTATTTACTTTATAAGTGCATATCTTGGATGATTTAAAACTATTCTGTGAGATTTTACTAAGGCTTAAAATAATGATATTCTGAATTACATCTGAAAATGCTTCATCATCAGATTGTGCGAGCAGTTGTTAATTATTTGGTGGGACAAGTATCAATCAATACCGATTCTGCATTAGGCCACAGTAATCATCAGGGTTCGACTTTGAATGTATGTCATTGTTTTTATTGAAGATATACATTTCTGTTATGCCAGTTGCACGAATAATTTTAAGTAAATTTATGGAATTTCTTGACTCTTCACACCAGAGTATAAAATGTTTTAGTCGGTAATGGCTGAAGTATCATTACCATCTTCTTTTGCGTTAAATCCAATATCAATATCAATGACGTCAGAGTCCGGTGAAAATATCAGCGAAGATGTACCATCCGTACATTTGCATTTTCGCACTGTGCAGGAAGAAGACGCATTTCTATTGTTTCGAGCACTTTGCAGACTTTCAGTTAAACCAATTCCCGAACGATCTGATCCAAAGTATGCTTTGTTTAAAAAGGGAAATGAAGCTTGTATTGGAATAATGAAGGAATAATTGATGAATGATTTTAAATTGTAGTAGAATTCATTTTCGCAATTTACATTTTGAAAAAATTCCCATAAATTTCTTTAGCAGTCATGAATTACGTTCAAAGGAGTTATCGTTGGAAATGTTGTTGCTCATCGTGCAGAATCCCTCATCCTTAATACATTCCTCACAGCCTTTTGTACTTGCACTGCGACATTTATTATGCGTTTCACTTTCACGAAACGGGGTTTCACCAATTGTTAGTGTTTTTGAAAAATCATTGGCCATATTTGTACAACTGGTCAATAAATTCAAAATGCATCTGAAAGTGCAAATTGAGGTAAGTCATATTTTTTTCAAAACAAAAATGCAAAAAGAATTGGAATTCATATTGTATCATTAATAAATTTCAGTGAAAAGATAATCCTTTTTATATTGGTTATAAATGCATTAGCACATATTTATCCCTCATCCTTAATACATTTCTCACAGCCTTTTTGTACTTGCACTTTATCACATCCAAACACCACTATAGTTCATGAGTTTTTTTGCAGAATATCGTAACTTGCAGGTATAATTGTGTATGGTTAACTCTAGTTTTTTTAAAAAAATATTTCGCTGTAAGTTTGCTAGAGTCAATCTATAGAACTGTTAAATTTCTTCAGCATATGTTAAAGCAAAGAGAAGGGATATTTTTTTATATAGAAGAAATGATAATATAAATAGCTTTAATTTTGTAGGTTTTCTTCAAAGAAATAATTTTTTCAATACTGGAAAGTAGCTCAAGTTCATTTGAACATAAATGGATTGTAATTAACATGTTGGAGAAGATTTGCGAAGACCCACAAAGTATGGTTGATATTTACGTGAATTATGATTGTGATCTTACGGCAACTAATATATTCGAACGTATCATTGATGGTTTATTCAAAGTTGCGCAGGTTTGTATGTATGCCGAATTTTCCGCTGTAGAAAGGTTATTTGAGGAAATACTTTAAAACTTCGGAATATTTTCGTGAGACTGTTAATTATTACATATTCATTTATTGCAACGTTATAGACAACTTTATATATATATATATTTACGTATTAACTTGGTCTAAGGGTTTCTAAACATATCACAGACGCGATACGGGTTCTTTGAATATATTGTGTACATGTGAATGGTTGTACGTTATGATGTTGCACGGTTTATTGTTTATATTTTCTTGCAACTAGTATTTAAAAGCAACTCACTTAAACGCTTACAGTGATTTTAATCCTTCTTTATAGGGAGGATCCGTTTCTGATTACGGAAGTTCAGCTGCTGTATTACAAAAACAACGCGAACGGTCCATGAGAATTCTGGGATTGGAATGTTTAGTTGAATGCTTGCAGTGTATGGTTGATTGGTTTGATGATATTAGTTCTAGTCGACCTCTTCCTGATGGTTTGTAGTCATTTTTGATGATTTTGCCAAAAAATTATATTCCTAAATAAAATTATGAAAAATACATTTTTTTGGAAATTCAGAGTATTTAAAGTATCTGAAACTCAGAATTTTAAAATCTTATCGCTGTAATTAGAAAGGATTGCGCTAAAGGAACTTGCACCAAGGTTTCACATGACAGGAAGAATTTCTTATGTGCACATACTGTTTTAAATCTTTTTTAAAAAATGAAGTGTGGGCTCTGTACAAGAAATTAGCACAAATTTTTTGCAAAAATTTCTCTTGTTTAGGAAATTTTGATTCAAAAGGATTTTGTTCTTCAAACATTAGACTCGAAAAAAATCTGTAATAACAATTTATATTCAAGATTTTTTGAATAATTTCCAGATGCGGAAAGTATAGATGTATCATCGGCTGAAGCTATGATACCACAAACTTCAGCTGTGTATCAATTTGAGCAATTGAAACAAAAGAAGGAAACAATGGAGCATGGAATTCATCTGTAGTGTTTTATTTCCACTTACTTTTCATATTAACATTAAAATAGTACAACAGAATTTATTTTTTTAAATCGAAATTATTAAGATGAAATGAAATAAATTCTGCATATTGCAGATTTGCTCGAAAAACGAATCAAGGTTTAAAGTTTTTGCAAGAAAGGCATTTAATTGGTACTAAACCAGAAGATATTGCTACATTTTTCCATAATGAAGATCGATTGGATAAGACCGTTGTTGGTGATTATCTTGGTGATGGTGATGAGTAAGTTTCTTTATTCTTACCCAAAGCAAATTACAATTATGGGATTTTTGGGTTTCTAGGAGTTTTTGGGAGATTTATAAGCACTTTGTAAATCTAATTTTAAAATTACGGATGCTAAAATCTATGAAAGTTCCAGTTTCAATAAACGAGTGATGTATGCTTATGTAGACCAAATGGATTTTTCGGGTCGAGATTTCGTTACTGCTTTGCGCCTATTCTTAGATGGATTCCGTCTTCCTGGTGAGGCTCAGAAAATTGATCGGTTAATGGAAAAATTCGCATCACGATATTGTGAATGCAATCCAAAGTATGAATTACTATATGAATTATATATAAATGAAGAGCGTTTATTTAGTAAACTATTTAAATATCTACTTAAAGTAAATTTCAGTTATTTAAAAGCCTTATTAAATTTAGAGAGTCCTCTTTTCATAATTTTTAATGGATTTAAAAGGGAAGCTTAATTTGAAGTCTTGGTCTTTTCGCCTCTGCCGATACAGCATATGTTCTCGCATACTCAATCATCATGTTAACAACTGATTTGCATAGCCCACAGGTAAGGTTTTTATTCATTACGCTGAATTTGTCAATGTGTTACTGACACTTTGGTCTAGTCACAATAGCAAATCATTATGTGTCTGATCAGCTGATCAGACTTATTACTATTGCTGGAGTTGTCAATTGCTGTGAATGTTTGAAGTTGAAATTGTCTCAACTATGTCTCAAGTCTGAGAGATTCTTCATCATAACAATTTTTTTTTTAGAGTTTTCCTGTTGAAATTTACTTTACACTTATGTATTTTGATAATATTACTAGAAGCACAAATTTGCAAATAAATTTTGTCTAATTCATTCTATTTTTTCTTCATCGATGATTTTTATTTTCAAAAGTTTCTTACCTACAAAATGAATAAAAAAGTTTGAATATTATTAGGTACGAAATAAGATGACAAAAGAGCAGTATATATCAATGAACAGGGGAATAAATGATCAATCTGATCTACCACAGGAATACCTATCCGATATATACGATGAAATTGCAGGACGTGAGATTAAGATGAAGCCAGGACTCAATAAATTACCTAAACAGAGTAATTTACTTATTTTTAAACTTTGAAATAGAAATTTAAAGAAAAATGGAGAGATGTGTTACTTAATTTTAATGTTAATGAAAGATGGAATTTCGATTTCTCTATCTAGATGCAACGGCGACTTCAGAGCGACAGCGTAAGCTGTTGCAAGATGTTGAATTAGCGGCCATGGCTCAAACAGCTCGAGCACTGATGGAAGCCGCATCTCATTACGAAGCTGAATTTACGTCTGCTTCGCATTGCGAACATGTTAGGCCAATGTTTAAGGTAATTTGTACCTAAAATCTCTGACAATCTTAATAAATACGCTATTAAAACACAACATTTAATTAGAAATAAAAAAAAAAAACTTAGTTGCAAATTTTAAGTAATTACCACGTTGAAATTGTTAACCCAGTTCATTTTTAGATCGCTTGGACTCCTTGTCTAGCAGCATTCAGTATTGGATTACAAACTTCAGAAGATGAAAGTGTCATATTTTGGTGTCTGCAGGGATTTCGTCTTGGTATCAAAATCGCTTGCATCTTTCATTTAATCTTAGAACGAAATGCTTTTATACAAGCACTAGCGAGGTTCTGTTTCATTTCATGTTTAATTCTTTTGTTTTTCAAACTACAATTTTCCTTCCCATAAACTTTAATTGTTTTTTGTGTGCTTTTTGCTGCTTCATTATTTGAATATTATTTATTACGTATTTTATAATAAAATTAAAGATTTACATTATTGACTGCGAAAAATTCTATGGTGGAAATGAAATCGAAGAATATTGAATCAATCAAATTATTATTAACTATTGGCGAAGAAGATGGAAATTGTTTAGATGAGTCTTGGATTGATGTGGGTTTTTCTCTGTACTCGACTACGTTAAATTATCACTGTATGATAATTTATATGATAATGATAATAAAGTGTGTGGAAGATTTTTTCATGCATTCTTCCATTCATTTCTTTACTCATTATTAATTAGGCTCTAAATGGAGAAAGAGGTGAAGAGTGAATAATTAGCTTGAATTTTTATCTTATTTTTGTTAGTTGATAGCACGATTAAAAAAAAAATTCTCGATACAAATTTCAGGTACTAAAATGTATTTCGCAGTTAGAGTTGGCCCAGATGATTGGCACTGGTGTTAGAAATTCAAATACTTCAATTGTTAGCGGTTCTTCGGTCCAGTGTAATTCAAATCTTATTTCGATTATTAATTATTAATTGCATATTTTATTATGAAAGTAACCATATTCATTTTAAATACATCATATCATAGATTTTTATAGATGGGTTGAAAAATGCTTCTCATGTGGATGAGCGGATGTTACAAGAATGTTTGGGTGAAACTACCTCACAGAGCGTTGTTGTTGCTGTCGATAGGTACTTAAAAGTGGTTCTTAATTTTTTTTTTTTCTGCATTCACTCACCATTCCTTAATAATTTACCCTTTGTTTTAACTGAATCTTTTATTACAGTTGTTTGGTACAGAATTGAAAATGTGTTTCAGCAACTCTTTTTTTTTTAGTTTTCATATTTTTTTCGTGAGACAAGATTTCAATGAAGGTTGAACAAGTTGCAGGATATTTCAAGGATCATCAAGATTGGATGGCGATGCTGTGGTGCATTTCGTGCGAGCTTTGTGTGAAGTTTCGAAGGAGGAATTGTCAGCGAGTGGTAATCCACGAATGTTTATGTTACAGAAAATAGTTGAAATATCATTCTATAATATGAATCGTATCCGTTTGCAGTGGTCTAGAATATGGACTATCCTAGGAGAACATTTCAACAAGGTGGACATTTTTTTTCAATTAGCGCTAGTTATTTTCTATATATCTAATTTGTTTAAATTTTAAATTTGTTGTAAATTTTTTTATATAAGCTTTCAAAAATTTTTAGGCAGGCTGTAATGCGAATGAAAATATATCACATTTTGCTGTCGATGCACTACGGCAGTTATCGATGAAATTTTTGGAACGAGGAGAACTGCCGAATTTTCGTTTCCAAAAGGATTTCCTGAGGCCTTTTGAGATTATCATGAATCGAAATAGGTAGAACAGTTGATTCTCCACTTTCCTAATTGTGAATGTGAAATATGGTTAATCTTGTGCATGATAAAAAAAATATATATTTATTTCTAGTTGACTACCACTCTCCTAAGAAAACTCCTTATTTTTATGAATCTTCTTTGAACACAAAGGTGTTTCTGGAACGGGCGAACTAGAAATAAATGGTGAATTTTTTCAGAGCTTTCCAATCTCGAGAATTGGTTGTAGAATGTATTAATCATATGGTAAATACACATTATAACAAAATAATATCCGGTTGGAAAAACGTATTTTCTGTCTTTACAATGGCAGCCAGTTTGAGCGATGAAGGAATCGTTGAAAATGCATTTACGACAACTAATTTTATAATTAGTTAGTTTGGGAATGTCTTTTTTTTTTTTTCTATGATCCTGTTCAGTTTGTTAGGGTAATTTATGATGAAAAAGATAAGGACGAAAAACCATTATAGAATAAAGGATTCGTCATTAAAATATAAAAAATACCAAAAATTAATTATAAAATCTTAAATTAAATTGCATCTAAAAAGTAATAACTTTTCAGCTACGGTATTTGCTACAGAATTTGGCAACGCACTGGATTCATTTCAAGATGCCATCAAATGTTTGTCAGAATTCGCATGCAATACGAGTTTTCCAGATATATCCATGGAAGCAATTCGACTAATACGACTTTGTGCAACATATGTTTCAAGCAATCAGCAGCAATTCATAGAACATCAGTGGGAGGATAGCGCAAATTTGCAAGACGCTCAACGGATTTTCTTACGTGGATGGTTTCCAATTATGTTCGAATTGTCGTGTATTATCGGAAGATGTAAATTAGATGTAAGAACAAGGTATTTTTTGTCGATCTTCCTTATAAGCTAAATAACGTTATAATTTATCCGTAGATAGTTGCTATTATAAGTGCTCGTCGAGTTAATCGAGCTAGTCTTATATATGATAATGTCGCTAATGGATGACAAAAGATTTTAACACATTTTTCAACAATTTTGAATTTTGTTAGGACTTGTTTTAGATTTAACTTGGAGTTTTGCATTACTCTAGGTCTAATCTAGAACAGTTCTTGATGCGAACAATTCCCATCACGTTTTTGGTCCATGAAAATTATTTTCCTTGTGACAATTATTTATGTAATGGTATAACTCGTCTATCTTATTTCGAAACTGAAAAAAAAATCACATTATATTTTGTGTAAGAAAAGTTATCGCAATATATTTTCGGAAATAATTCAGAATGACTCATTTTATTTGCTGTTCTTTAGTGATAACACTTTTGCAGAAGTTTGACTGTTATGTTCGAGATTATGAAAACATTTGGAACAGAATTCAAGAATGAGTGGTGGAAAGATTTATTTCAAGTTGCTTTTCGGATTTTTGATGTCATGAAATTGGCTGAGGAGCAAAATGAAGTGAGTCTAATGTATTTTTGTGGAGTCCGATTGACGAATTCTTAGAAAAAAGCATATACTGGCTGATAAAGGAAGACATTGGAGAATATGTCTGTTTCAGAAGCGAGAATGGATGCGAACAACGTGCAACCATGCTCTTTATGCTGTTGTTGATGTCTTCACTCAGTATTATCCTGTTTTATCAACAATTTTATTAACTAACATTTATGAACAGTTATACTGGTGTGCTCAACAAGGTTTGTTTTTACCTTTTAGATTTATCAAAAGTAATCTCGTATTTCACATATTAATCTCTAGAAAAAATTTGGTAAACTTCTATTTCTTTTTTTTTTTCTTCAACATTTATTCATATATTCACTTAACTTATCTAAGTCATAATGAATGAAATATGTGTAATTTGTAATACTTCTCGTTTTCTTTAGAAAATGAGCAGTTGGCTCGTTCAGCTATTAATTGTCTAGAAAGTTTACTTCTTCTCAACGGATCCAAATTTACGGTTGAAATGTGGAATGAAACGATTATCCTGATCGCGAATATTTTTAATGTAACACTTCCGCACTCGTGAGATTTTTCTAATCTTTGTTATTTAATTATTGACTTATATTTACATATACATTGTTAGTTAGCTTCCCAAGATATCTTCCTAATTGCTTTAGTAAGTTAGATTTTATTCATTTTTCTGTAACAAGAGATAGTGAAAATTGAAAACATGTTTCGTAGTGAGGTATTCCTTTTTTATTTCTTCTTTTTTTATTTTTTTGTTTATATTCTTACAATTAGTTGAGAGTGAATTAAAAATGATATAATATATAAGTTATAATATAAATGAATGTAAAAAATGTTTTTTGACAGATATGAATTTTAACTTTAGAAAAAATGTTTAAAGATTTTGCAATATTGGACGATTGGAAGCCAAAATTTTGAAAATTTTAAATTGAGAATTTTTGATAGACTACTTACATGGGAACCGGATGATGTCCTGAACACGTTTATCATACCAAATGGTGAGAATCACCAAGTGAGCAATGATGGTACTCATCAAATAGTGTTTAGTTCAAGGTTATCACTACATTTCTTTCTGTAAATTGCTTTCAAATTAATGTAGTTTATTTAAACTCTTGTAAGTAAAATTTGAAATTTGGTTAGTTAAAACCCTTCAGAAAGTAAGCTGTATTATGTTTAGGTCGTAATTCTTTGAAACATTTATTTGAAGCATTGCCCATTTTTTAATGATAACTTAACAAATGCTTTTTCCATATCACGAGATCAACAAATTACTTAGCTATATTGAAAAAATTTTTTGCTATATTGAAAAGCATCCTTTGCAGCGGTAACGATGCATTGTTTACAACAGTATTGGTTCGATGTATTGTACAGTTGGAGTTAGTCGATGCTGTAAATAGTATTATATTCGGTCAAGAGTCTGTGAAAAAGGTTAGTTTTTTTGTTTTAAGTACATTTCAAATTTGAAATTGACTTATGTGATAAATAACAAGATATAAGGTTAATGAATTGCAATTGATTTACGATATTTTTTTGTTGTTTTTGATATTTCTGTATGTTAACTACCTTCTCTAGCAACACTTTTCAAGGATGAAGCGAAAGCAAATGCAGTTTTATCGATAGTATCACAACCGGAATCATATAACAAACCTACTGGACAAGAGTTACGGAACGGAGATTTTAAACAAGAAGTTGTTGATAATGTTGAGAACGGCACCTTAGAAAGTACAGATGGAGGCCTCTATAAATATATTGGTACCATTTTATGATTATTTTAATCAAACTTTCATTTTTTTAATAAAAATCCAAAACTTCTTTAATGGTGAAACGTAGTTGGTGCGGTTTTTCTTGATTTCTCATAATGCTTTTTTATTTTATAAAATTTTTGGATAAAGATTTTTTGTTTGTTGTTCTTCAAGGGAGTTTTGCCTAATTTTTGATGGTTTATATAGACTTAGATATCCATTGTTCAGATTTCTTATGAGTTTTCAACAGTGAAAATGACGCTTTGTTCTCATATAATGAAGTTTGTAATTAAAAATCAAAATTGGCTGTGTTACAGAAGTGGATCATCTCATGCGACTGGTTGAATGTCTTCTTGATTCTCATATTCTTGCTCAAAAATTTAATGGCAACAATACTCAGCGTACGTTGCTGTGGAAAGCCGGTTTCAAAGGTTTATTAAATTCTTTCGAAATGCAAGAAAATTTGCCATAAAATACATAATAATCTTGCAGATTATTATGTATTTTATGTGATTCTTACATACGCCGCTTGCATATATTCTGATCATATGTGTATTTGGAAGTTCCGATGCATTCATAATTTCTCCTCTCCTCAAAGTGGTTTCTTATTTTTCAGTTCCTCCGATGTAGTAAAAAAAAATGCCAAGTCTAATATTTTTCATACCCCGTTCCGCAACTCTGATAGGTCATGAAAACAGTATAATATAAAATTAAAAGAACATATCGAAGTTTATGAGAAATGCAGAATAAAATACTGTTCGTTTTAAACTCTAAGCAGTAAAATAAATCTTTCTGAAATAATTTTATGCAGATGATGTGGTAGTAGTAAAACATGGAAGATACTTTCAGGTCGAAGTAAACCGAATCTTTTGAGACAAGAAACACGTAGTGTACGAACTGCCCTTAATATATTGTATAGATTATATACTGATACTGGAAAAACATCAATGCAGCAAAAAATTAATATCAAAATCAAATTGTTGAGGTTTGCATATACTTATTTGATTTCTAATATATGTTTTATTTCTTTCAGCAGTGGCTTCTGTTTATTTGTAACATCGAGTGAAATGAAATTTAGATGTATCGTGGAAGATGAAATCTCATAGTTGAAGTTTGTCAAATAAGGTTGCATGTTTTATATGTTTTTGAAATAGAACTAAAAGAAATTGGGATGGAAAGGATTCTTACAAAATAAAGATTCCAAAGCTCACCAGTTTTTTAACTAACAACATGTTTTGAAGGGTGGTAGAGAACACGCTCGATTACTATTCAGAATTAAAATCCGAGCAACATCGACAAGCTTGGATTCCGGTGGTGCATTTATTGCTAGAAAAAACAGATGCACTTTCTTCAGCGCAGGTAACAATGATAACATGAATAAAAGAAGACGAGTTTGTAGTTTTAGATGTTCTTTCCGTCTTCTAAACTGCTTAATTAAATTTTTTTTTTTGACTTTAAAGTGACATACGTTTGATTGTTAGATGCTTTTGATTATATCTCAGCATTCCTCTCGTTACAACAATTAGTGGATGGTTGAGGGTATTGATGAATTTTTCTAGTAAATCGACTTTTTATATTTCCTTATGATTTTTATATACAGTTATGAAAATATTATTTTTTTTTTTCATTTCATTCTTTTTTATTCTAGCTCATTGATCTTGGTCAAGATTATGCGATAACTATGTGCCGTTTGGTGGAATGTGAAATGCGTGAAGATTTAAGGTTTATTCTGAGTAGGATTATCAGAAAAACGATAAATATAAATTATACTGTTGTATAATGTTCGTTATTATTGATGAAAATTGCTGCACCTTTTTAGTTAGCATTTTTCATTCTCTATACCATAGGTTGTGACATTGGCAGTTTTTTCTGGGAACTCCAACTTTTTCGTTAGTGGTTTAATATTTTATTAAAATTTATAGTTATTCGTACAACATTTCCTCTTTGTTTTTTAAAACATATCGACAGCATTACGACAGTATGACAGTAATAGATTCTTACAATTTTCCAATAATTGGTTTATTTTTGAATTCGGTAGCCGGTTGTCAATGTCGCAGTAATTATTTTAAAAAGTGCGATAGTGATTGTTGTGTTTTGCTCACTTAATAGGGCCAAATGTGCAAATTCTCGACAAATTCTAAATAATTTGTTCGAATGTCTTAATTTTTCTCGGAACAAAAAAAAAAAAAAAATTGAAAGTTTTCTGTTCCGGCAAATTTTGTGCTACAGAAATATGTATAAATTTGCATTGTAGTTAGTTGAAAAGTTTTAGAAACAGATTTTTATCTTAGAAACAAATTTGTATCTGTTGATTTTCATTTGTAAATTGTTGCAAACTCTAAGAAATTTTAATGACATTTTGAATAAATTTTTTTTATAAAAGAGTAAAACTTGCGATCGTGCCATTGGCTTAGTTTTGATGTTTGCTCACTACTATGCAGGCGTTGTATAACTTTTCACTTTTGCAGCAAATATGCGTTGAGAAAGCTGTTACATATCATTTTTGACTTTATTATTTTGGAATGGTTGTGATTCCTTATTTAAAGAAAAGAGTAGTCATATCTAAGATGTAATACTTATAATGCCTGGGGATCAAATCGATTGGATTTCTCTTTGGTGTTTGTCATAATTCTGCTTCGTGTTGTATTTTGAATGTGAACAAATTTCATTTAGCACTTTGTAACAAATCTGCATGAAAGCAGTTGCATGTCGGAGTTTGTTTATTTGTTTTTTTTTTTTTAAAAAAAACATTTGCATTGATTTTGAGGAAGAAGATAAGAAGGATTAGTATGTAGGTGGTTGTTTTTTAAGAATCTTTTGGGAAATATGTCAATAACAAACTTTTAAGTTTGTTATTTTCTAAGTCATCGAAGAGATTTCTACTATTAATAAAGAATGAACAAACAGATTCATTCATAAAGTGAGGTTGATCATTCTTGATTTATGATCAGGTAATTCCATACCTTAGAGGTAATATCGCAAAAGATTAAGTCAAAAATTCTCTGAAGTTTCCCATATTCCTCACTTTTTTGAAATCCTTACACGAAAGACAAAACATGTACATATGTATATATATACATGTTTGTGTGTGTCAAACTTTAAGCATAATATTTAGGACAACTTTAAATTAAGAGCAAATAGTGTGCGCAATAAGCTATACGATCCCAGTGCGCACTTTCCGCTGAATCTCTCGGAACTATTAATTGGCTCTGACTTCGAACATTTTGTTTATGATAAATTATTATAAGAAATTCTAGAATTTGCTTACCTTCAAATCCTTTTACAGTTTATGTCATTTCTAAAAATTACTGACAGTGTTCATTTTACCTCTTTTGCATACAATACACCATGCGAGAAAATCTTTCAGAGTATTTTTCCTTTTATGTCATAATTTGTTGGCATTACATTTAATTGATTGTACCTTTGCTATCATACAAATGGAATTTTGTAAAGTGGAGAGTATTTTATTTGATAAAATGTATTCTTTTTTTTTTTTTTGGGGGGGATTCTGATGAAGTAAAATTTTAATTTCATATTGATAATAGGAAGTACTGCAGTTCAGGGCCGTATATGTCAACAGTCGTATTGATTTCATTAATTGATATTGAAAATTCTGTCAGAATAATTACTTCAAAATAAGTATTACTGATTGAAGTTTGGAGTGTGCAGCACATTTATATCAGATTTCATCTGAAAAATTCAATTTTCACAGCAGACAAAGAAGGCTTCGAGATTTGTAAAAATATTTCTAAGAATTTTAAAATAGAAGATAATAATGGGAACACGGTGTCATTTTCTGGAAGGCGTAGAATGGGAAATATTCATGTAATGCCTAGATTATATGTAGGTGATTGGTTCCAGTTCAAAAAAAACGAGAGATTGTGTCATTCTAACTAAAAAGATGTATTTTTTATATGCTCAACGCCTAATTTTGTTTTTGCCTGTTTTATCTAAAAAAATTCAAATGGTTCTCTATTCAAAATTAGAAATCTTTTTTTTTTACACAAACTTTAGATCATCATATCATTTTTATTTATAATGTTCAGTTTAGTGATGACAACTTCCATTCCTTCTTTTCTGTATCATTTTTAAAACACTACAAATTAGAAATTTTTCTGAGAAATTATAATCTTAATACCTGACGTGGTCTGAATGTAGACGTCATCTTTTCTTTTGTTTTTTTCATTTTTTTTCGTTTGTTCATTTGATAATTTCTCAATTGCTTGCTGCAAAGTTTCAGAAACTGTCCAATATAAAATGGACGATTTGCTTCCAAAGTTTTACTATATTTTTTAATACTAGCAGAGCAGAAATGTACAAAAAATGCATGGTTATATTGTAAGCGAAGTAGCACTTCTAACAAAAATGCTCCAAAATTGTGAAACTTTAACTGAAACATACAAAAAAAAATCTAATTTGAAATGCAAAGTTCAAAGGACCAAACGTAAAATACTAATTAGTTTGAAATTTGAAGGAAGCAGAAAATTTTGTCAAAACATTAAAATATTTTGATTTACAAAGACAGAAATTGGGAACATTTAATGCATCATAAGATTAAAATTTTGATAGTTATGATGTTATATCAATTCAAAATTTTTAGATTTTGTAAACTGAATACTCCAAAAAAATGCCATATACATGCTTTCAATATACAAGACAAACATTCACGTATGAATTTTACGGTATCACGTTTATTCGAGAATAGATCACGTGCCGTTGCGTTCTTTTTATCTTGTTCATTCAAAAATTTATCCAGTTGTTTACTGTAATACTGATTATGGATTAAATGATGAAATGTTGGCCGATCAGCATCTTCGTAGAATTTCTGCATAATGAAATGCATCAGAAGACACATAGCTACAGTAGCTATAATGCCAATCACTTCAATAATCAAAGGGACGAAATCGAAGTCGAGAATTGGATACTGATGGATTAATGTCTGATGTTGATTTACATCACTGAAAGTACCGGAAACGGAGAAATAGAAGAATATCGGATTGCAGGAAAAAGTACAAAAGTACTTTCCTGATTTGTGGCAATTAAAAAATCTCATCATCCAATAAATCATCTGCTTAATATGATTATACAGAGTTGAGCGAAAAGTTTAGACGATAGATTGAAAATAAGAAAGGAATGGATGGATGGATGGGAGAAAGGTTAAGATTGAGTTAGTCCTACTACATCTATTTGCTTGATTGATGCTATCTGGGAGAGAAGAAATTTTTTTGCTAATAATAAACAGCAAAAAGGAAATCTTAGAAAGGACACAGTGAAATTGAATAATAAAAATTGTTCAGTGCTGCTCGAATGTATTTCTTCAGTTATATGCGATAAATTCATTGTTACACCTTCAGTTAAATAAATCAAAGAGTGTATGAAGCGTGAGCCTTCTCAGGTTTATATTAACTTACCTGTATGCAAATTTCTCAAGTATGAAATATTCTAAAGTGGATGACAAGTTTGCATCATAACTTTTATCTTAGAAACAATACAACGAATTAGTCTCTGTGACAATGAAAGGTTATCACTATTATATGATAAGGAATGAAAGATTCAGAGTTAATATCACTAATGAATATAATAATAAAGTTATGAGAAGGTAGAAAAATAATGGAACTAGAAGTACTCCTGAATTCTCCAAAATTAATACCATCAAGCCAACGATGATATTCATCAAGATTGTAAAATTGTTAAAGCAACAGCAAGTTTCTCTCAATCTTTTACTTTTGTTCAAAACAAAATAAAATATGTTTACTAAATTAAATATTAGCCAATTTAAGGAACAGCAATTATTTAAAGGAGAATTCATGAAACAGAACTGAACAACATTGATTTGAAAGTGTTTGTCAGTTCATCAGACGTTTTCCAGTTGAGATCACTCTCGCGATCCACTGTTTCGATACCTCATTATATTTTGCCAATGATGTTCCTTTCCGTTTTTTGATTCAAACGAAAATTTTGGATTCCATTTTCGTGAACTAAATTGGAAACTATTTTCTGGGATAAAATCTGAGTATGAGAATGACAATTTTTTTGAAAAGCCATTTGCTTTAAAATTTAAAGACAAACGCCACCGAATATTCAAAATTAAAACATAAATGAATAAGGCTATTGATCGGGAGAAGTAAATAAATATAAATAAACATGTAAATTAAAATAAATACGTGAATTAATTAGTTATTCTAACCATTTATTTAATATTTAATTAATTATTTAAATTAATTAACTAATTATTGTTCATTTATTTAATCAGTTATTTAAAAATGAGCAGATAAATGAATAAACTAATTACTTAAGTAAATAAATACTAATGAATTTCGAAATTGATTTATTTAATTAATTAATTAAAATATATATATATAAACAGGGACTACTTTAAATTCCGATAGATGAAGTTGAGGGTATACGGATTGCAGATGAAATGGATAGTACGAATTTTGTGAAAATGCTCTTAGTTTGCTGAGAATTTATGCTTCAGAATTGGAAAATGACTTTTTAGATCTTAAAGTTAAGAAATGAATAAAACGAATAACTTTTTATAGATTCAATTTTACGAACCGGTGATGGAGATAAAACGATGCAAAGTTTGTTGAGGGTGGACGAGCTATTAAATTTGCTAGAGTCATTTCACCTATTGCAGTAGATACTTCTTGTTTTTCACTTGATGAATTTGCAGAATTCATTATTTCCATTGCTGGTAGTTCTCCTTTTTCTAGTTCCGGTACCGGTCCAACTGTTTCATTCTAGAATAAATTCCTAAAATTATTGATTTCAGTACAACAAATATCTTAATGATATCACAAACTCTAAGCAACTTATATTTTTCTGCAATGCTTATATCTATACATATGTACAGGTTATGTTTCATCTACCTGTGATATTTGCTGGGCACGATAAGCAGCAAGCTTTTTTAAGTAATCTTTTTTAGCCATTTCTGTTCTCTGTTTGTACAGCTGAAATGCGCAAATTAGTGATTTACTGCTTCTAAAATCTGAAGGAAACTTTTCACAAAATTTCAGAATTTAACTTTCTTATTTCAAATTTCTGATGAAAAACTAAGAAAAAACTAACGCTCTTTGCATGATAATCTAACGAATCCCACATTGATGCTACAATTTTCGAGACTTCTCCAAAACTAGCATTTGGACTCCTTCCTTTTATGGTAGCCTGTGTATCACGGAAAAATAAAGCATATGCTGAAACAGGCCTGAAATGGAGGAAAGCATTTGCAGTGAAATTATGGCTTTGTTCCAGACAGTTATTAGTTTCATTTTTTTTTTTTTTTTAAATATTGTTCATACCAATAAGTTTCTTTCATTGTGCAATTTGAAATTTGAAATATCAAAGTTCAAAAAAAGTTCAACAGAAGTACAAAGCGTCCTACTTTTGAGGTTCATTTGGATCCTTTTTTGGGCGCTTTTTCCTGATCGTCCGACGTGAAGTCCGGCTGGTCACCTGATTCGTAGTGTCTGTCACTACTGTTTCGTTAGTATTACTCGTTGTTGTAATAATATTGTTACATGCAGCAGTGGCACAGACATATGTTTGCTCTTCTTCAGGTACCAACGATGGCTCAATACAGTTCAAATCCAAATAGCAGTCATTCTGTTCAATTCCATAAATTCCGAAATCAATGCAACTGTTGTTTTCAGTGCAGGAAGGTGGTGTAGTTGAATAGTAGAGTGACGTCGGATGGTACATCTATTGTTGCTGCTTCCTTCCTTCTAAAGAAAGAAGAGTTCATCATATGGCGACAAAAAAGCAAATTACAATTTAGATTGCTATTAGATTTAATGACCCGATAGTTTCATTCTTCATTTAGTTATGAAGTGATTTGAGAGTGTTATCGTTTCATCTTAAAGTACTAACAAATGATGAAAAAATCAATCGCTGGAGTATTTCTAAATATATAAGTAAATTTACAAATGAATTTATGAATTTTACAACTTTTTTTTTTTTTGGGAAAACGAAGAAAAACGAAAGGAAATCAGAAATTCCTTTTTTTTTTTCATTTTTTAGGAAGGAATGGTAATTGTGACAATCGATCAAATATCACTGATAGAACAAGTATAATTCGGGCAATATCTGAATGAACGTAGAAAAAACTGAAGCATTTTCTCACAATTTCGCTATCATCGTTTTTTTTTTTTTTTTTAATAAAATAAGGGGGAAAAAGAATTAATTAGGGTTTGGGAAAATGAACAGGAAGGGAACAGTAACAGTAGTAACAATTACTGATGGATGATTACCGCAGGCAATGACAGCTCTTTCCCTCCACCTCTTTTTGCATTCTTCCTTAAATATCTCGGGAAAGAATGAGTGAAAAGGGTAGGTAAAAGAGAGGGAGGGAGCGAATGAAGAAAACATTTATTTATTTATATTCTGTTGTTGTTGTTGTTGTTGTTGTTATTGTTGTTGTTGTGGCTGTCACTGTTGCTGATTAAACCTGGTTGAATGATAATGATGGATGAATGTTTATTTTTATATGGTACTCCAAGGAATACCTCAAATTATTCATTTGATTATTTCAATTTACAGATGTTGTATATGGTACGGGAATGGAATTTTAATTAGGATAATTAACGGATAAGAAAATGAATGAATGCCATATCACACTATTTTTTCTTCCACAATTTTACCTAGTCTGAACTAATAATAATATATTTACATTTTCACCGAGATTGTTCATACTGATTACTTTCATTCTTCTCTCTCTCTCTCTCCCTCTCTCTCTCTCTCTGTCTTTCTCTCTTTACCAGTTTGCAAAATTTATTCTTCTCTATCATACAATACATAAATATGCGTGTAAATTAAAATTCCATCTCATCAATTAACATTTTCAATATTTTACAAACGTCCCACAATAATACACAGAGACATCCTATGTATCTGAATTTAAATTAATAACTCATCAAGGTCACCCATACGTCTCAACTTTTACCATCTCTATTAGTAAAATTTAATTTAAATAATGATCATGACAAGAGTCGAGTGGAGAAGATAGACAAAATGAACAACAGATGAATTTCGATGCAGTGAATGAAGAGGCATCAGTAACGAAAAGTCAAGTGGACGAATAAGTAAACAAATGAGTAAATGAATAAACAATAAAGTAAATGGATAAATATAACTTTTGTTGGGTTTACAAAAATTGAAATCATTCAAAAAATCATCTCAGAACAACAAGTTAAATTACAGTTTCGTCCACCACAAAATTAATAACAATTAGGCAGTTATGAGTAGAGGCAAAAGCTTATTTTCGAAAAAACATCGTGCGGGAATTATTTAATCAAAATTTAACTTCTTTGAGTTTTTTTTTTTTTTAAATCTCTGTAAGACTTAATTATCGAATGAAATTATATCATGAAATGTTTTAATAGCCAATATTGTTTGCTTCTTTTCTAAAGCTAAACAATATTATTACTGTTAACGGTGATGTTTTAAGAATGAAACCAATTTAATGAGCTTTCTTCATAAACATATATTTCAGAGAAATGATTACAGCTGTAAAAAAAAAAGTTGAAATTGAAGTAGCAGTGATATGCTATTTCAAAAAAAAAAAAAAAGAAAAAATATCCTTCTTGACTGCAAATATTTTTATCATTTCTCTTAAGTAAATTATAAAAGAAGACAAAAATTAATTACTACAAAGGGAAAAAGAATAGTGAAAACGAAGAGAAGGATGAGCAAGTAATAAGAGAAAAAAGCATATTATGGAAAAGGTGCAAACTATTGACAAGGTAATAATTATATCACAATAATCTCCTTCTTAACCATTCAAATTAAACAAGTTTTCTTCTATTTTTCGGCCAATTTAATGAGGGCAAACTGCCACCTTACATGAAGAACATTATTATTCACAACATGAAAATGACAAAACAGAGATATTTTCACTTCATCAAGCAAATTAATTTCAGCATCAAACAATAATACTCTATCAAATGTTGTTTATCTACTGAAATTAATTTGACAACCATTTTTAGGAACGAGAAAAGAAAGGGAATGATTAGTTGCAAATTCTTATTTATCGATGGCACAATATTATAGGTAAATATGTAAAATAGGTAAATTATGTAAGGGGATAAAAAACTCCTGCAGGCATTTTCTTAAAATGAGTAAGCATTTGTATTATCATTTGAAAGTATTACTTCTTTCATTGGTTAAAACATTACTTATAGGAAAAGTTATCATTTCTAAAAGCCAAAAATGATTTGTACAGAGGGACACCTTTAGGCAATAATCGTCTAAAGACGATTATCAGTGATTGATGTCTTCAGCTGGCATTGTTAAGTTTCTTCCCTGAATGCAATCAGTGTCATTGGAAGGAATAGTTTTAAAAAAAAAAAAAAGTTAGAAACTAACACACTTTTATACCATTCAGTCAACAATCCTTACGCTAAACGAACTATTAAATACTTTAATTGATAGTTTAGTTTGCAAACCATTCATTCACTCTTATGTTTCAATTTCACGAAACATTCAGCCAGTGAAAAAGGTTTAACCATTAACAAAGATATTATCCTTGCTGGCAAATTACTGATAGTACAAGAATTATGCATATGTATACATATGTCTGTGTGTTTGTGTGTGTGTGTGTGTGTATATATATATATGTGTGTGTATGTGTGTGTGTGTGTGTGTGTGTGTGTGTATGTATATATATATATATATATGTGTGTGTGTGTGTGTGTGTGTGTGTGTGTGTGTGTGTGTGTGTGTGTGTGTGCATGATCATTATTTAAAGGAGAATTGAATGGGAATTACTGATAAGTGGTGAAATTTGAGCAAGGTCAACACACACACACACACACACACACACACACACACACACACACACACATACAGTACGTCTGGTTGCTAAAAAGTGAGAGAACGTACAAAGTTCGGTATTTGGATGCCAGAATTTTACTACAACTATGCTAAAAATGCCAATGACCGCTTCCTTTGCTCTCCCTTCCCTATCATCCAATTGTAATCAGTAAATTTCAAATCAGTTCTGTCTCTCTTCCTCTTCTAATTTTCTTCAAAAAAATAAATTCATCAAAAAAAAAAAAAAATTTTTTTCAAGCTATTTTTTTGAGTGAAAGGAATTAGTTGAAAACTAAGGTAATTATGGAATTAAATCATCCGCGCTTAATATGCACTGTATTTCCACTTATTATACAACTGATTACTTAAAAGAAAAGAGAAAACAAATGATTGTAGGATAAAGGCACAATGAATATTTCACAAATGATACAGTGATAGGTTATCAGATATTATCAGCAAAAAAGTGATAAGACCAACTGAATGAAGATGGATGGATGAACGGTGTAATCAATTTCTCCTTTAAAGATGATGAACAGTAGAAGTGCATCATTTATATCAGCATTATCAATAGTTAAATGACTACTGAATAGTTCTGGCCAATATTAGAGGACTTAAAAACGGTCGCTGAAAATTCGGCCTTCTCAGTTGTTATTTTGAACATTTAATAATCACTGAAATTATTTTTGGAGAACTATTATATTAATAAAATTCTATACGGATTTAAGCTTATTATAATCGTTTAAGCGGAAATATTGGCGAAAGAAGAAGAGAAGGAAGAAGGTAGAAAGAAGAAATTATAGGGCGGTTGTCAACTGTTTAAAGATGAAATATTCTGAAATTATTCCCACTCCTCTTTGTAATCTCTGCTAATTATACCAAAGCTTTCATAATTAGCTATTATACATTTTGTCATATTGTTATATCTCATCTGTTAACCATTCTTCAATCAGCAACAGATGCTCAACGTGTTACGTGCATACTATTACGCAAGATTCATTTATATGAATGATCCTACATATTTTCCTTATGGTTATTCTTAAAATGGATGACCTATATAACCTTTACAACAAATGCAACTTTTATAATGATTAACTCCATTTAATTTCAATCTGAATCATTCAATTTAATTTTAATTTTCCTATTTAATATGAAGAGATCTAATAGCGCTGTTAGGAAAGTGAAAAGTACTTTATATAAAAATGTCAAAGAATTGGATATGAAAAAAGAATTGTGAGAAAAAGGGCAAGTAAAAGTATCTGTGCACAAAAGGAGAAACGAAAAGTAAGACAAGATGGCAGGAAGAAGGACTGCAATAGGAATATTATTTCGTAGGAAATTGGTTTTTCGAATTCATTACCTACTGGACTACCTGATTTCCCATAGTTTAACTTATAATTAATGCATTGTTCTCATCAATAACTCATTGCAAAATTGTTATACAATCCCATCTGGTACCATTCAACCATCTCTTTCACTTCCATTTCAATTATAAATCATTAAATTTTGCATACTGTCCACATATCCTAAGGCCATCGGCTGCTATTCCAGTAGTACAGTCTTTGGGGAGAATATGGCTTGTGGAGCGGTTTTTCTTGTTGTCATTCGAATGTTTGTCATTGTTTCAGTTTTTATTTTTAAGTGTGCTTCGACGGAATGATATTCTTACTTTTATGTTTGCACGCTTTACCGGAATCGCAACTGTACCGGACGATATATGACTAGATAAGTACAGGTTTGCTTTACGTATGCGTGCGTATAGATTATGTGACCAAATATGACGCACTTCTTTGTTATGTCTATGGCATTTTTTTCCTTTTTTCTGTATCGTTCGCATCAAGATAAAATATTCGTTTCTCATGTAGTCACTTCGGATGGCAAGTACGATTTTTTTT